ATATATATATATATATAATATATACACACACACATACATACGCAGCTGGCAGAATGTCTGCCCCCAGTATTTATCTAATGAGTACAATGAATTGCAGTATACAAATCCTGTAACCTATATGAGTGCCTCCTACTGGTTAGAAAAGTCATGATTATTATAATGGTAGCTTAGATAGTGGTTATATCTCCTATAGCAGTTTATAATAGGCAGTGGATTCTTGCAGCAGTGCTGCTGCATGGTAATGTTATTTAACTTACAAATTTCTCTGGGCTATTTTAAAAGGAGTGTTTTGCATTACCTGAGTAATCTCTTACCTGAATGTCTAATACATCTCTCTGCAGCCTGTGACAAACTGTCATCTTCTACTATGAGTCTGCAAAGGCCAGTGGACTCGCCAATCAGTAAGAGGCTCTCCGCTTCCACAGCAGCAATCACACATTCCCCTGACCGAGGCAAGTGTACCAGCTGCCCCCTTTGCCTGTTCATCTGCTTGTTTTTCTTCCATGTTCTCCATCTTTCTTAACTGTCATGTCTGCATCACTTCTGGATTCCTTATCCTCCTATAGCTGTTAATAAATGTTCTGGCGTGCTGCTGGTTTTTTCCAGATTTTTTTCTGAAAAGCAGTACAAACATCAGTGAAAAATTGCAAGCTGCATTAACCCATAGAAGCCAGGCTGAAGTTCACTGTAGAAATAAAAATGAAGGATTGATTCTGATTGGTTACTTTAGGTTAATGCACTTTGCCTAATAAATAAGCCAGAAAAAAAGGTATTGTTTATTGCCAAATTCTCAGGATACATCCTGTAATCCCAGGGTAAGTGGTGTGTTTTGTGTGTGTGTGTGTGTGTGTGTGTGTGTGTGTGTGTGTGTGTGTTCTTGTGCTTTTCCCATCTTTGAATGTTTTACATTTTACTATATGTATCTATGAAAAGTCTTCCACAAATGGTATCCTTTACGCAGCTGGCAGAATGTCTGCCCCCAGTATTTATCTAATGAGTACAATGAATTGCAGTATACAAATCCTGTAACCTATATGAGTGCCTCCTACTGGTTAGAAAAGTCATGATTATTATAATGGTAGCTTAGATAGTGGTTATATCTCCTATAGCAGTTTATAATAGGCAGTGGATTCTTGCAGCAGTGCTGCTGCATGGTAATGTTATTTAACTTACAAATTTCTCTGGGCTATTTTAAAAGGAGTGTTTTGCATTACCTGAGTAATCTCTTACCTGAATGTCTAATACATCTCTCTGCAGCCTGTGACAAACTGTCATCTTCTACTATGAGTCTGCAAAGGCCAGTGGACTCGCCAATCAGTAAGAGGCTCTCCGCTTCCACAGCAGCAATCACACATTCCCCTGACCGAGGCAAGTGTACCAGCTGCCCCCTTTGCCTGTTCATCTGCTTGTTTTTCTTCCATGTTCTCCATCTTTCTTAACTGTCATGTCTGCATCACTTCTGGATTCCTTATCCTCCTATAGCTGTTAATAAATGTTCTGGCGTGCTGCTGGTTTTTTCCAGATTTTTTTCTGAAAAGCAGTACAAACATCAGTGAAAAATTGCAAGCTGCATTAACCCATAGAAGCCAGGCTGAAGTTCACTGTAGAAATAAAAATGAAGGATTGATTCTGATTGGTTACTTTAGGTTAATGCACTTTGCCTAATAAATAAGCCAGAAAAAAAGGTATTGTTTATTGCCAAATTCTCAGGATACATCCTGTAATCCCAGGGTAAGTGGTGTGTTTTGTGTGTGTGTGTGTGTGTGTGTGTTGTGTGTGTGTGTGTGTGTGTGTGTGTGTGTGTGTGTTCTTGTGCTTTTCCCATCTTTGAATGTTTTACATTTTACTATATGTATCTATGAAAAGTCTTCCACAAATGGTATCCTTTTATGTTAGACGTCCGCAGATACAAAATAAAATGCATTTGTGAATCAAGATACATTATTTATTAGACATCTGGATTTTGGATTTGCAGAATAGTATTGAATATCATCTAGGTGTTTTTAAAAGGATAATAAAAACTAGAGAATATTTAAGGAAAATCGGCCAACATTACCTACTGTCGTCATCATCATATGATGTATTATTCATGTTGCCTTTAATGACTTGCTTCTTGAAATTTCCACTGAAATGCTGAAGCAAGTCAGCATAAAGGATCCTGGTAAGTCAACTGTTGCCGCTTTGCAACATTGTAGCACCAATGTACAAACGGTTATTTTGTTTTATCTGGAAGTACTGTAATAGGGCTAGGCAGCTTATAATAGGCAGCTATGACTTTCTGTTTGAGTAGGTGTGCTGGCTATTTCAAAAGGTAATTCCCTACTAACTACACTCGCTTCTTTAGCAGTCGCAGACTGTAGCATTTATGTATACTGTGTAAGCTCTCACGGGCAGGGCCCTCCTTATCATCTTGTCTTGAATTGTATTGTGATAATAATGTCTTCCTTATATTGTAAAGCACTGCGCAAACTGTAGGGGCTATCTAAATCCTGTATAATAATAATATTATACTGTGGAGGAGTATAACTTCATAGAAGTTCCTATAAATATGGTATCACTGGAGTAATCCTGTGCTTTTCTAATTTTAGATCGGAAATTACATTTAAAGTAGGGTATGTTTCAGATTAAGTAGGGTAGATGTCCCTTAACTTCTTGTCTTGGGGACATTAGCTGGAAGCTCCCCAAAGTTATCTGAAATTCCCTTTTTGAAAACCATGATCACGGCAACAGTTGTCCCTATGGGTAGTGCTATGGGTGTCCCGCCTCACTCTTAACCTGGTAAGCCCCTTGTTAGATTGGGTTCTTGTATATCCATAGTGCATTTTTTTACTGTGGAAATATAAGGTCAGGTTTTATGCATTTGTGTCCTATTATGCCTGATGAAGAGGCCCCTGCATGGTCCTGAAACGTTGCTGTTTGTTTTTGTCCACAATATTTAGATGTCAATAGAGGCATTTTGGACTAAGATCCTCCGTGTACTGGTGACATACCCTATGGGAAGTGTTCCCTTAATAATGACAACTGTAAAATGTTGGATTTTCCATTACTTTTTGTCTTGGTCCCCAATGCATACATGGTAATTTTAGTTAATATTTAGTTTTACATTTTAAGTTTTTATATCATATTTATAATATTTTCTCACAATTGTGTCTTCAGTTTTTCTCTTTCCTGTGCACAGCACTTCATAACGTATCATCTCAGCTTTTGCACCTTTCAAACATGATGCTCAATATTAATCAAATTTATGAATGTTACCCAATGATTATTTTCCTTTCTCAAGTTTATGTATTTACTCAACAATTTCTTTAGTGAGCTACAGAGCCACTTTACAAATATGGACCCCAACTCTGGACACCAGACCTTAGATGTGTTCTATGAAAGTCTGTAACACAGGTTGCCAAGATCTGAGGTCTGCTAAACATCTAAATATCATGGCAAGCTAGAGAGATGTAACCTACTGTATGTGGAACTATAAGCTCTAGAATGCATGGTGGTTCTTGTATTTCCACAAAGCCTTTTGTGCTGAGGTTGGTGGGTGGCTGGTGTTCACCCTCGAGATGCCTGCCCTAAGCTCCCCAATATCCCAACGCAGCCCTGCTGCCAGAGTTAAGCAGTTATTCCAGAATGTCATCAACAGTAAGATAAAAATTGACAACCCATTAAAAGATAGGCTTATTCAAAAAAAGGTGAACAATCTAGGACAACATTGCTGAACTGGAAAGAGCTGAATTTGAGACTTATCAAATCGGCTAATTTGGCCTGGATTGTTCACTTCTCCTGCCTCCTCCAAACTCTTTACCCTTTTGTGAATAGCCCTGAAAGTACCCAAACCAGCTCTTGTAGCAAGATTACCTTCAATCAAATTATTTCCGATGCAGTATTTATTTCTGTCACCAGATGTCCTTAGTCTGATGGCCGGAATCATTCAAGCTAATTACTTAGAACTAGGGATGCCCCTTCATCTGGCAGTCTCCGGCCACCTAAATTAGGACCCGGAGACTGCCAGATGACCCCGCTCGGAGCGCCGCCCACCGGAGCAGCAGTGACGCGACGCTTGGCGAGGTAAGGAAGAAGAAAAAAAACATAGCGCAAGCTTCGGCGCTAGGCTTCGGGGGAATTTTGACAAGTACAAGTACTTGTCAAAATGCCCTGTATCGGGCCCGATTCCGATGCTAGCATCGGTATCAGGACATCCCTACTTAGAACCCATCCCAGATTATAACTAGACAATGAAAGGAGAAGCAGTACAGTAATGAGCTCATCTCTGTGTCACTCTGCATTCTCTTACAATTGGCAAGCTTCCTGTCAGCTCATGAACTGATTGGCTTTTTGTACTGCCTATTCATCTCACATCTCACAGGGACTGCTAGATGCTGATACCAGCTCAAAATCAGGTACTTGTGCTGCTGGCATTTAAAAAAGACATACAAGGATATATTATTGAATACCGAGCATCAATAATTGTTGCCCTTTTATGTGCCCAGAATTGAACTTTAACATGTTCTTGTGAGGCATGAGTTCAGATGTTGTTCCAGCTTCTGTCACTAGGCTGCACTCTGACACAGACAATAAAAATTGAAGTTGTGTTACTTGGTTTCTGCCTTTATAAACATGTAATCTGTGTACATATGAGTTTTCTCATATAACTTAATTGCTGTTGAGAACACAGCAATAAAGGGTATGCTGAATTTGTGGACCTTAGCCCTAGATCATAAGGAAACAGAAGTTAAGAGGCAGTTCTCTTTAGAATAAGCTTCCATGTAGTAATAATAAGGCTGCAAATACACTAAGTGGCATATTTTAGTTATTGTTGAATGTTGTAAAGTAAAACCATAGCTGAAGTCTCTCAGGGATTCAAGTGGTGAGATCCCCGTGCCTTTGTTCCTAGAGATGGACAGATGTCACTGCTCACTCACATTTGTTGGAGTTTTAACTTATTTTATGGAGGATGCTAGCAGAGGAATGGGAACACTCTAGTTGTAGTAGTAATGAGAGAGCAAAAGATGGAAACTGAGCTGGGAACTATGGTGGAAAGATCTTTCTGTTTCCCCAAGTCCTACTCGAAGCCATTGGACAACTCAACCTACTAGACCCCAGTTATAACTAAAGTATTATTTTTGGATGCACTCTCCTATTCATTATCCGCACAAAAATCGCAAAATGCTGTAACTTATAGCAGATAACAGGCATAAGTATAGGAAGCCTGCATGCCAATTCTGGTCCTTATGGTCATTGCGTTCCGGCTATTTTGTATGTGCTAGGCCAGGAGTAGGCAACCTTGGCTCTCCAGCTGTGCTGAAACTACAAATGCCATCATGCTTCTGCCTCTGGGAGTCATGCCTATGGCTTGCAATGCCTTATGGGATTTGTAGTTTCAGCACAGCTGGAGCGCCAAGGTTGCCTACCCCTGTGCTAGGCACTGTACATATTGCACTGGCTAAGGCTGGCAAAAGACATCTTTATTCGCAGAATGTTCAAGTGATTTCGAAGCTTTCTTTTCTTTTTTTCTTGTTTTCCAAACCTCTTCAGGCTGGGGAATTTTTGTTTTAGCCAGTAGTTACTATGAGAGGGTTGTTAATCACTATATAACATGGGTGCAAAAATTGAAAAAAGGGCCTCAGTCATGAAGGGGTTAAAAACGCAAACATATGTGTATTTTAAAGCCATTTTTCAGGCACTCCTATTGAAGTCTATAGGGCCAAAAACATGCACTTCTGACTGAAAAACTCTTGTACTTTTTGGAGCTACAAGCAGCAGGCAATACAATGCTCAGGCATGAATGGGCACCATTAAAAACAATGGGATTCTTCATGTTGAGCTTTGTCACGCTTCTGGAAACTCGTAATAAAATGCTCAGGTGCGAATGGGGGCTTAAAGGGGGCCATGATGATTAAGCCTAATAGATTAGGCCATTTACTATATTTTCCACATTGATTTTCTGCCTTAGATATTCATCTTCATTCTGTGCTAAATGGCATGCATCTTTACTCGGTAGTATAAAAACCCGGAATACAAAGAAACACCAAATTATCTCTTGTCTTTGTAGAGTCAGGATCTTTGGCACGAGACAGGTGACCTTGCAGTATAAAGTAGACGCGTCTCCTGTACTTAGGTGTGTCAAAGTGCTTGTTGTTTGGTGCTGTGCAGCAGACTGGAATGAAGGTTGAACACAGACTGTTTGTACAGGAGCCAAAGCTGCAGTGCCTCTTTCCACACCAATTATCAAGACGTACTGTGCTATGAACTAGACAGTCACACTGGGTGTATTCTATCGCTTCACAAGTGATGGTCTCTTCTATAGCCATTATCTTATGTTATAGACGTCTATGTCAGTAGAATTTTTTTACTCCTGGTGCGCCCTGTATTTGAGAAATAAAATACAGACTCTTTTTTGTAGACTTACAGTAACATTAAACTCAGGAGTTAAACCTTACAAATGTATTCAAGTACCTGAACTATTAACAATACTGTAGCTTATTTGTGTATCACTCAGTTGTAGATCCTCAAATGATCTCTGAATTGGTGCTGACACTGTCCTTTCTTCTGGAGGGTGACTACTTTTCTTCCCCATGGTCCCTGTGTGTATTGTAAAGTAGCCACCGCTCCAAGCTCACGCCCGTGATGGACATTTCATGTTTAGTTTACTAATTTGTATTGAGATTATAGTCTATCACGGGAGCGAGCCTGGAGCGGTGACTACTTTACAGTAGCACAGAGACCATGGGGAACAAAAGTAGCCACCCTCCAGAAGGAAGGACAGTGTCTGGATGAATTTAGAGATGATTTGAGGATCTACAGTTGAGTGATACACAAATAAGATCCAGTGTTGTTAATAGTTCAGGTACTTGAATGTATTTTTAAGGTTTGACGACTGAGTTTAGTGTCCCTTTTATGTTTCTCCGTACTGTGTTACACATATAGTGGATGTGTGTCAAAACTGGCTTTAAAATATAGTTGCGTTTGGTTGGATCTAGGCAGTGTTTGTTTAAAATGGGTAAACTACTGAAAATGCTAGTTGCCTGGCTATTGCACTTTTAACTACTGGCTTACAGACTTTACTTGCTTACTGACCTGCAACAAGTATGCAGAGTGCATGCAAAGTCAGCATATAGTGGGCTGCTGCCTTCTATATACTGGCAATGCAGAGCCACACTGTAGCCGGGAAAGATCTCAACAATATTGTCAGGATCCACTCCGCTGCGTGATTGACAGCTGGCTCTGCATTTCTAGAACCAGAGCTAGCTGTGGCCGCCTCCTCCCCTGTCTGTCCCTCCCAATTAGTGCGTTGGGGACAGAGAGGGAATCCCTGCGGGGAGCCGCCAGTCACTGCTCTCTGCAGGGAGAAGAACGTGAGCTGAGCGATCAGTGGTTTGTGTACGCTCTGTCCTCGATCTATAGAGCATTGTGAAGAGTACATTACTCTCCCAATACTTTTTTCTTAAACCCATTTGTAAAATATAGTTTTGAAAATGTAGCCAACTAAGACCTAGTAATACTACAATTGATTGCCCTTGCATTTACATTTATTTATCATCTTTCCTTTGTTTATTTATCATCAGTTGATTTTTGTTTGCCATTTTCTCATTTCTTCTTTTTTTTTTTTTTTATGTTCTAACATTCATTTGCTTCCATCCTTCAGCCCAACGCTTGTATCTTAGTCCCATGGAAAATTTCCTTGTCACTCGACTGCTGACTCCAACGCACTCTTCCTTAACCAGGAGCAGGAGTGTAGCTATGCTAAATGAATCATGCCATTCCATGTCAGGTAAAGTGCGATAGAAAACAGAGGTGATTAAGGTGAACAGTCATTAGATCTTGACCTTTTGAAAGCAAATGAGGGAGACATGTATACACCCTAATTTAATTCCAAACATTCATTCTCTTTAGTAGTTGATGCATATCGAAACTCCAACACAAAAACCTAAGAAATTGCAGCTTACCCATCCTTGGGGTGGATGCATTAGTAAGATGGTAATTTACAGGCAGAGGGTAGTCCTGTTTTGTAGGTTGCATAAAACACTTGCACTGTATACAGTGAAGAACACTGTTCCTATTTTTTTGCATACAGTATTCATCTTCCAAAGTGAAATTCTCTAAAATGCACTAAAACAGGCATTTGGTAATGTACTTATTTTAGTAGTCAAACAACCAGTGCTGCAATAATGTATTACTTCTATTTAAATATGAACTGATCTGTATAAGATGTGCCTATCAAAAGGCAGTCGCATGGTAAAGGACTAAATCCCTGTATTGCCTGTGGTCACCTTGCTACAGACCTTTTTTCCCATTATTTACCATGCCTTGTTCTGCACTATGTCTGTATGTAGGGGTTGCCATCTTGGTAGAGGCAGGGCTTTGCTTCCTCGTGTCAGAGCTTCCAGCAAGGAGAACAGTGAGCAGCATGATAATTACATCTTATATCCCATGAAACAGTGGCAGCAGTGCCTTAGATCTTACACTGCAGATATACAACTGAGTCTGTAGACACATAATTGCCTAGGCACGCTCACAGACCAGGAAGTCCATTTCTAGTTTTCAGGAGGAATTGCAGAAAAAAGGAGCATTTTCAGGGTACTACTTAGGCACAGTTAACATTTCTAAATGTTCCTATAATATGGCAAAAGTTAACTTTTTGAGATCAGGTCTATAGTAAGTATAGTAAATAATAGTAATCTACACATAGTTGATTTATTAAATTTTCTTATTTAATCCTTCATCTTTCAACCCATCTTTTCTGTTATGTGTTATCATTTATTCATGTTTTTTTATTTAATATTTCTGGAAGGGCCAGTAAGCCTTAACATTTCTTGCCTTACATTAAAATGTAATTTTATAACATTTTAGTTTGTCTGTAAAAGACCTAACACATCATCATGGCCACACTGTCCTAACAAGTATGGCCTAAAAGATGGTGATAGAAAATATATCCTTTTACAATCAGATCTTAAATTATTTAGATCTTTCATATTAGACGACATGTAATCTGTGTTTACTGGCCCTCAATCACCTTTTATTAAGCAACCCTTGAAGAAATTGCACTTATGAGTCCTCAGAAATGGCCCTTTGGAAGATGTAATTGAATTAAATTTTAAGTGTCCAGGAAAATTCATGTCAAGTGATATCATTTTACATGCATGTGTATTAGTATGCAGTGGCGAGGGCATTTTATAATTAAAAAATAATATTTTGCATTGTCCTTAGACACTGTACATTTATTTTACTTCCTTTGTTGTTCTGGCATTCTGATAGAGAAAGCTGATCAATAGCATGTAAGCATAGGTTTAATAATGAAATGTGTAATGAGCATGATTTGTCAGTAGGATATTGTTCTGGTGGTTAATGACCGTACATTATATGGTATGTGAATTTAACGTATTCCTGTATTCCTTCCCCTCTATTCTTCTGCTATAATTTTCCTTCTATATCATCTTGTGTTCCTTGCCTTTACACTGTAACTCTTTAGTCTATCATGTGTGTCCTCGTGTAGCCCCTGCTAGTCCTCTTAAATCTCCTTACAAGTCTTCCCCTTCACGGAGCACCGAGCGGAGGAAGACCCTGCCATCCCCTAATGGAACAGATGGAGCAAAGACCCCAACTACTCCAGAGCCACAGGTGAACAATTTGTTCTTTACTTCTTTAATTTTACAGTGAGACATTTAATTTCTATTCGTTAGAACACATCAAATTCACCAGTTGTGGATACTGAATGTACTACTACATGCTGGTAATTCCCAACTGTCAAAATGACAGCCGGGAGTTTCTGTGAAAATACAGCTGCTGTAATAGCTACTGCTGTCAAAAAAGAGTGTCTATAAACACTGTTCAAGTTGTAAAATATATCACCAGCACACTAATCAATCTTCAGAAAGTGATCATTTTATTGATACACACATCAGGTCACATTGCAATGTTTTGGGGCCACTCTGGGTCCCTTCCTCAGGCATGACCTGTCACAGTGCAAATTTTCGGGGCTACTCGGGGTCCCTTCCACAGGCATGACTATAGACACTGTTCAGACGCAAGTCGGCCCCTCTTGTTGTCAAAATACCTGAACAATCTGATTGGATGCAGGCATTGTTCAGGTGTTTTGAGAGCCAGCGGGGCTGACTAGCAAGATACTGAGGCTGAGATTCCTCTATCCACATAGTTCAGCATAGATGGAGGAATCTGTTGCACTTTTTCCATCTGATCGTAGAGAATCTGCAGATAATCTATAGGTGTCTATAGGTGTATGGCCAACATGGGCACTTTCAGCTAACTAAAATCACTTTCTGCTTTAAGTATCATTTTAGAATATAGAAATGAATTAATTATTATTGATCTAACATTAGTTCCTAATAGTTTCTGTTTTAGCCCTCACCATTCTTTACTTTTTGGGGTTTAGACAGTTCTGAACTTTTTAGTACACTTTTTTTTTTTTCTTCCTCCATGGAAGATAACTGTGGCTTTCTATCTGAGCAAAAATGCCAGCTGTCACCTGACCCAGGGAAGATCAGATGGCCACTTGATATCGGAGTGAGGGATCCTCATATATTGACTGAAGTTTGTGAACGTGCTCAAATATTGCATAGATAATTTAAATTTTATCTGTGACTTTAACCATTTCTTAATTGATTAAACATAAGTGATTTGTGGTATTACATTGACGGTTCTTTTCACATCTGCTCAAGGTTAGTTTCGTTTTCTAATTTTGTAGCCTGAAAAGCTAAAGAAAGAAAAACGAGCTACAACTCCTGTACAAGCCAATACCCTGAGTTCTCCTCTTCGAAGATCTGAATCTCCTGCAACTCTGTCAAAGAGATCATCTTCTCCAGCAACACCAAAGTATGATTCCTAATAGAGCACAAGGGACATATTATGTTCTTCTCTGCTAGACCTTGTATTAAGTAATCCCCTCCCTGTGAGCCACATAGTATGAGATAAAAGATCTCCCAACTTTACTAGCGTTTTAATAGAAATAGAAAAAAAATTCTTACTGCGTTCAGGGTAGGGAAGTATCCATTGAAGAAGTAGCCATGATGAAGATGTGAGCTTAGCCAGTTTTGTATTGCTCTTTTTTTTTTTCTTAGAAATATTTCCTTTCAATTCCTTCTCACACCGTAACACACAGGGTGTCACTGAGAGAGGAAGTGACTGAAAATCTTCCAGTTGTGGCACACAGCAATAGGTACTTGACAGAGGTTCTCGCCACTCTATTCTACAAGCATTATTGCTTGTGTTTACATGAGAGAGAGAGACCCTTTATTTCCTATTCCTGGTAAAAACAGACATGATGGGGGCATTTATAAAGCAATAGTATGGTCCTTAAAATGAATGGAGTTTGGGGGGGAAAAATTAAAATCCAGAAGGAGAGTGCTGCATGTGACCTATGCATGATATGACTGTCTCTCCTCCAATCACACAATTCTCCCTGCTGGGTTAGCAGAGAGAACTCTGTGGAATACCTCAGTTTAAATGCTGCTGGCTACATTTTTTAATGAGCTGCAAATATTGATTTGAGTAATAATATCTTCATATTTAAGAATTATCACTGAAGCATGTAAAATGAGCATCACATGAAAAAGATGCCTGTATCCAAGGTACAACTGGGTATTGACTGAAGTAATGTGGAGTAAACTCTGTTCCCAGGATGGAGGTAGAGCCCACACCATATATATTTCTAGATGTACATCTAGATATAGATATCTATATCTATCTATATAGTAAAGTTGGAATCCGATTGCTTACTATAGTGTGTTGCCTCCATTTTATTAAACGTCATAATCACTGTTAGCTGAAATCTATAGATTTGTATTAGAATAGTTTGTTTTTAGCAGAACTCATTACCTGTATGTATAATGTTTACTTGCAGATCACATTCAAAGTCGTATGCACAGTCTCCAGTGAAAAACAACAAGCAGTTCCCAGCATCTCCCCTGAAAAATCGATCCAGCCCAAATACCAGCCAAGATACACTTAAAAAGAAGGCAGAGAAAGCCAAAACAAGTCCTGAAACAGAGGAGCATCCTGTGGAAGTGAAAACCGAATCCTCCAAACCAGAGAAAAGTCCTTCCAGTGGTGAGAAGAAAGATTCTAATGAAAGTAAGTAATCCAATGTTCTGAATTATAGTGCTTTGTAGTGTTGCAGCACAATTCTAAGATTTCTCTTAGGACTTAAAGATGCACACAGTGTATACCCTGCCAGGATCACTGGTTCTTCAAAGATCCTAGTGAAGAAGTGAAGGCAATTCCTGCCAAGTAATAGTAGGAGAGCTGGGAACTCTGGGGGCTTCTGGGGTTACCTGTGACATTACTGCAGTAACATCATATTTGGTATAATGCCTGATATTGTAAATTATGTAAAGTGTGAAGCAAGTACATATAGTTGCATTATTCAAAATATTAGGTATTACATGTGTGCAGTGATACATGCAAGGGGAGCCGTTACTTTCCTGTTACTTTTGGTGAATGGAGGAAGAGGAGATCATGCACTAGATATTCTGTACATTGCCAGATATATATTCAAGCTAAATTAAGATAATATAAATATATTTTTGAAAGCATTTGCATACTTGTACACACTAGTAAGTAGTTCAGGTTGCTGCTATTGCCTTTTATTCTATTTTTCTTTAAACATTATCAGGTTCAGCACTATGGAGAGTTCCAGTCTTACACAAGAGGCTGCAGTATTTTTGCCAAAATCACATTCACAGTCACCAGAGTTTGCAGGGGCTTTATACACTGTCTGCATTTTTAATTCTTTTCCTGTTCCAGGCTCTGGAAAGATCACAGCAGGGACAACTGATGCTGATGAGGCTTCTAAGATCCTGGCAGAGAAGAGGCGCCAGGCACGGCTCCAGAAAGAACAAGACGACCAAGAAAAACGTGAACGTGAAGAGGCGGAAAGGTGGGTCAGGTTGATGTTCAAAAGGCAGAAATATAATAAAGTATAATACTCTGTTAAATGGTTCTGTATTCTTAAGAGCAGAGCAAGATTCTGATTGGGTACTATAGGTTTCTGCATTCGAAAATCAACTCTTTATTGAATAAGGCCATATATATCAATGAATAGTTCAGATAAGGAGTAATTTAAGTTATTTAGTAGGGATGTTCAGATACCAAGACTAGACTGGAGAAAAAAAAAATCAAACGCTAGGAGGCAGCTGTCATTTTTAAGGAGCATACAGGGCTCCTGGGATTTGTGTGTATGAGATATATCAGTTTTTCTAAAACAATACAGACCAATAATTTCAGGACAGTGGTGGAGTGCCAGGGCCCTGTCACAGCTGCAATCCTGGTAGTTCTCGTGAAAAGTATCGGCACAGTATGTGAACATCTCTAGTATTTAGCTTTTGATATTATTATTAGGTTGCATATGGCAAATGAAAGTCAGAATTTCATATCCGAATACTTGTTCCAGGTCATTGACTCTAAAGTATCTAAGGCATGTCCACCAGGCATTTACAGAAGCAGTAACAGCCTTCCATTTGTTCTCTTAACAGGTTTTCTTTAAGCACCAGACTGTGTATATGCCCGGTCTAAGGGGGCTAGGTTGTAGTTTAGTAAAATAAATTACTTATGCTGATTTTACCAGTAATTTCATCCAATTTCTCCCCTGTAAAACAATCTAATTTTCCTCTATTGTACTGGCTGCTTCCAGGCTGAAGAAGGAAGAGGAGAGGAGGAGGGCAGAGGAGGAAAGGCAACGTCTACAGGCAGAAGCAGCTTTGCTGGCAGAGAAGAGAAAGCGAGAAGAGGAGGAAGCCAAAAGGAAAGCAGAAGAAGAAGCAATCAGAAAAGCAGAGGAAGAAAGACTTCTGAAGGAAAAACAAGAAAAAGAAATGCAGGCCTCTCTGGAGAAGCAGGTACACAATAGTATTGTATAGATAACAATTGTAATGTTTTTGCTAAAGTGATTGTGTGTGCAAAATAAAATGTTCCTATTTTGGGTAGTGTCTCAGGATCCAAAAATGAAACTTTACATTTGCACACATATGCAATTACATAACTTATTTACATGGTGTACGTCCAAGATAAAAGCCGTACTATCATTTAAATAATGGAATGTAAACAACATTCCAAAAAGGAGAAAGGACTTGAGGTAATGTCATTTTTTCATGGCAAGAATGATCCCAGCAATGCTCAGCAAATTTAATGTCCCACCCATGACTGCAGCAGGTTCCAATGCCATGGACCATTTTATCATCTTCTAGCTCCAGACAGAAACCAGTCTATAGCAGACCCTAAGGAGACATTGGCATTCCACAATAGGGAATACTTGTTTTAACCAGTAGGTTCCCATCAGTAAGTCCTTTGCACCGTCTTCCATACCAGTCCTTGCTTCAGAACCATGGTCACTCTGCCCTTCCCAGAAATACCAACCTGCTACAACCAGTGCTTGAACTCTGCATTCCTTCCTACCCCACAGAACCTGCAGTGGGTGACTTATGCAAGTGTTTATGAGCTCACATATTTAGGGCAGGCAGAGCAATGTTTTTTATTCAGTGGTGGGAAAGGAACTGTGTAGGAGGTGGCCAGCTATAACAAAAGTCCCAATCCAGTGAATGCTGGCACAGCACAATTTTGGAATATGGGATTGGAACTTATAAGTCACGTCTGTGCTCTTCTTCTTCTTCTTCTTCTTCTTCTTCTTCTTTTTTTTTTTTTTTTTA